TACGCTGTGAAAACATCGGCACTTTTAAGAATATCGTTTTGTTTGTTCAATTACAGAAGGTTTAATGTATTCTTGTTATTGTTATTGTTATTATTATTATTATTATTATTATTATTATTATTATTATTATAAATATTACTTTTATTATTATGTAGAAGAAAGAGAAGGAGAATCCAACTGTATCGATGATTGCGTCCCTTGTGAATATGTCAACCTTCCATGCATTTTACACCCCCAATGTTATTTTCAATGCATCTTTCTGTTTGTTCTGTTACAGAAGGTAGACTTCGAACGAGCACTGTGAAATTATTATTATTTTTATCAGTATTATGTAAAAGAAGAATGACAAGAATCTAAGTATCAATGAAGGCTACTGTGTAAATAACCCCAATACGTTCTACGTTCTCTTGATATTTATGCTACATCATTCTGTTTGTTCAGTCAAGTAACTTTTGCGGGCGAGCGCTGTATAATTTATTATCACCATTATCATCATCATTATCCTCATTATTTTTCTCATCATATTATGTAGAGGTAGAAGGCAGGAGAAGGACAATACCACTACATCAAAGATTTCGCACTATGAGAATAAGAAGAAGAAAAGAAAAAAGAAAAGAAGAAGAAAAAGAAGAAGAAGAAGAAGAAGAAAAAAGAAAAAAGAGAAAAAGAAGAAGAAAAGAAAAAAAGAAGAAGAAGAAAAAAAAAAAAGAAGAAAAAGAAAAAGAAGAAGAAAAAAAAAGAAAAAAAGAAAAAGAAAAGAAGAAGAAGAAGAAGAAGAAAAGGGAAAAGAAGAAAAAAAGAAAAGAAAAGAAAAAAGGGGGGGGGGAAAAAAAAAGGGGGAAAAAAAAAAGGAAAAAAAGGGAAAAAAAAAGAAAAAAGAAAAAAAAAAAAAAAGGGGGAAGAAAAAAAAAAAAAAGGGGAAAAAAGGGGAAAAAAAAAAAAAAAAAAAAAGGGGGGGAAAAAAAGGGGGGGGGGGGGGGGGGGGGGAAAAAGGGGAAAAAAAAAAGGGGAAAAAAAAAAAAGGGGGGGGGGGGGGAAAAAAAAAAAAAAAAAAAAAGGGGGGGGAAAAAAAAAAAGGGGGGGGGGGAAAAAAAAAAAAAAAAAAAAAAAAAAAAAGGGGGGGGGGGAAAAAAAAAAAAAAAAAAAAAAAAAAAAAAAAAAGGGGGGGGGGGGGGGGGAAAAAAAAAAAAAGGGGGGGGGGGGGGGGGGGGGGGAAAAAAAAGGGGGGGAAAAAAAAAAAAAAAAAAAAAAAAAAGGAAAAAAAGGGGGGGGGAAAAAAAAAAAAAAAAAAAAAAAAAAAAAAAAAAAAGGGGGGAAAAAAAAAAAGGGGGGGGAAAAAAAAAAAAAAAAAAAAAAAAAAAAAAAAAAAAAAAAAAGGGGGGGGGGGGGGGGGGGGGGAAAAAAAAAAAAAAAAAAAAAAAAAAAAAAAAAAAAAAAAAAAGGGGGGGGGGGAAAAAAAAAAAAAAAAGGGGGGGGAAAAAAAAAAAAGGGGGGGGGGGGAAAAAAAAAAAAAAAAAAAAAAAAAAAAAAAAAAAAAAAAAAAAAAAAAAAAAAAAAAAAAAAAGGGGGGGGGGGGGGGAAAAAAAAAAAAAAAAAAAAAAAAAAAAAAAGGGGGAAAAAAGGGGGGGGGGGGAAAAAAAAAAAAAAAAAAAAAAAAAAAAAAAAAAAAAAAAAAAAAAAAACAAAAAAAAAAAAAAAAAAAAAAAAAAAAAAAAAAAAAAAAAAAAAAAAAAAAAAAAAAAAAAAAAAAAAAAAAAAAAAAAAAGGGGGGGGGGGGGGGGAAAAAAAAAAAAAAAAAAAAAAAAAAAAAAAAAAAAAAAAAAAAAAGGGGGGGGGGGGGGGAAAAAAAAAAAAAAAAAAAAAAAAAAAAAAAAAAAAAAAAGGGGGGGGGGGGGGGGGGGGGGGGGGGGGGGGGGGGGGGGGGGGGGGGGGGGGGGGGGGGCAAAAAAAAAAGGGGGGGGAAAAAAAAAAAAAAAAAAAAAGGGGGGGGGGGGGGGGGGGGGGAAAAAAAAAAAAAAAAAAAAAAAAAAAAAAGGGGGGGGGGGGGGAAAAAAAAAAAAAAAAAAAAAAAAAAAAAAAAAAAAAAAAAAAAAAAAAAAAAAAAAAAAAAAAAAGGGGGGGGGGGGGGGGGAAAAAAAAAAAAAAAAAAAAAAAAAAAAAAAAAAAAAAAAAAAAAAAAAGGGGGGGGGGAAAAAAAAAAAAAAAAAAAAAAAAAAAAAAAAAAGGGGGGGGGGGAAAAAAAAAAAAAAAAAAAAAAAAAAAAAAAGGGGGGGGGGGGGGGGGGGGAAAAAAAAAAAAAAAAAAAAAAAAAAAAAAAAAAAAAAAAAAAAAAAAAAAAAAAAAAAAAAAAAAAAAAAAAAAAAAAAAAAAAAAAAAAAAAAAAAAAAAAAAAAAAAAAAAAAAAAAAAGGGGGGGGGGGGGGGGGGGGGGGGGGGGGGGGGGGGGGGGGGGGGGGGGGGGGGGGGGGGGGGGGGGGGGGGGAAAAAAAAAAAGGGGGGGGAAAAAAAAAAAAAAAAAAAAAAAAAAAAAAAAAAAAAAAAAAAAGGGGGGGGGGGGGGGGGGGGGGGGGGAAAAAAAAAAAAAAAAAAAACTAATTACATCACATCTCTATCGTTGTTGATTCCAACATAGCTATTTGTATTATATTTTTTCTATGTAAATAATACTGTGTGTATTTTTTTTTATTCCCTATTCCAACAGCGACACATTTACAGAGCCAAAAGAAAATACAAATCGTTTTTGGCAGACGTTTTTAACGGGATTAGAATATTGGCAGATGAATAATGTATGGCCAGACACGTGTTGAATTTCAAGACTGAGTAATCAAGGATAAAGTGGTTGCTGGTTAAAGGACGCGCAATCTGGACACATGTTAGTACGAACTTATCGACATACACAATAAATTATGTATATTAGTTAATAAAGGCAAGCATGCTAACAACCAGTTTACTTATTGTTCCACACACTCACACACATACACATATATGCTCTCTCACACCCCGCGCACACGCACTCACACACCCACTCGGAGGTTATGTGCCGTTTGATTCACAGTTTGCAGGTTTAGTTTTAGACAACGAAATAACATCACGGCACAATGGTAGTAACCCTTTAGTGCTCTGGTCTACTTCTGACTCAAGCCTGAGTCCGAAGCATCTCAGCTCAGTGCGCGAACTCCGTAGCACCGGCGGGGATCCTGAAATTCATTATTTTGAGACCATGCATCTCTCCTGTAGCAACATACGGTGCTGTCCCAACTAGGAGGGAAAGAGGAAGACATACAATTACGCGTGAGCAAAGCTGGAGCTGCTTTTAGAAGGATGAGGCAAATCTGGAAATCCAACAGTTACTGCAGAGGAACGAAATTCCGACTCTACAAGAGCATCATTTTGCAAGTTTTTCTTTATCGAGGAGAATGACCAAAAAGAATGCGCACAAGCGATCCACCGTCCACCACACATTTCTGCGTAGAATTATCAAAATGTTCTGGCCAGATACAATCTCAAACACTAACTACTCCAAGTCACAAACCAAGAATCTCTAGGCAGTATAATAACCAAGAGAAGATAGAAATAGAGTGGCCACTTCATAAAAATGAATCCTGATATACCTGAAGGGGCGGCTAAAAACAACGTGGAGACGAACGATGGAAACTGAACTGAGTGCAGCATCTCTGACATGGAACAACTGCAATAAAAATTGCAAAGTACAGGAACTCATGGAAAGTCCTCTCTAAAGCCTCATATGCCACTAGCCATAAAGAGAATTTTATATATATATATATATATATATAATATATATATATATATATATATATATATATATATATATATATATGGCAACATGGATTTAGTTTTGGTACCTTACTACACGACGCATGTCAATTATTTAGTAACCCCTGACAATATACACTCTGCCAGCAAATTCATTACACAGGAGCTGCCTTGCAATAGCCGCTAGACAATCGCCTGCCGATGCGAAGGACCGTGGTTTGATTCTCCATCGTTGGATTTAACCCCTCGAAATATGACGTTGGCTCACAGATCGACCAAGCCTAAAATGGGTATCAAATAAAGTCATACAAAATAAAGGCGGCCGGCGTGCTGTTGATCACATAACCCACTGACTGCCGATTGGTATATAAAAACATGATTCGGCAAATATTTGTGATCGTCCTTTTCATCGAGTTTGCAGTAAGTTCTTGTCCTCTTATTGGACAGTTTGAAGTAATTTATTTTGACTTAGCCAGAACCGAAGATTTATAATTTTTAAAGAAAGTCTCGGCTATATAAAGAATTAAGGAAGCAACTGCTGCTCATGCAGACTCACAAGCTGAATAATATACAACTAATGTCCTTACTTACAGAATAAAACAGTGTTAAACGCAACTGATAACCCAACATATAGATTTGACGGGACAAAATAAATGTAACTGTATGCAGACTGTACATCATAAAAGCGATGATTCAAATATACTAAACCGAGCAACAACAACAACAACAAAAATACCAAGTGATGCACTGACACATAAAAACAAAATTAAAAGAAAGAACTGGTACCCCTAGACATAGTGAAGTAAGTAATTAAAGATCCCTTTTCACGCTTTTAGGAGCATCGGGAATATGGGAAGAGCACCCAGTCGGCACTAGGTGGGTAATGTGTTCAGCATTACGCCGGCCGTCTTTACTTCCCCAGGACGTACATCCTGGTACCCATTTTAGGCTGGATCGACCGGCGACGCCCCGTACCATCATTAAAATCCACGTAATCAGCAGTGGGTTTCGATCGCGGTACTTTGGAATTACGAGTCGGAATCGCAACGCCTTAGCTACTTCTAGACATGAACGGGGGAAAAACAATTGGTGTCCCTAAAGACAGATAAATCAATATACTAAACAAATGATACACCATTAACAGACAATTAAAAAAAAATTAAAAAAAGGAAGCACCAACTGTTGCATCTACAGAGAGACAAAACTGTACATAGCAGCTGTACTCACCTGAATGTATCCATCGCCTTTGTCCAACATGTATCCAACAACGGGAATCCCGAGAGCCTGGGAAATTAGATTGACTGTCTGAACAGTCCTAACTTTCCCAAAGACCACGATCAGTCGCACCTGGCTCTTGTCTCCTTGAAAGTGAGCACACATTTCCGTCATCATTTTTTTCAGATCCTTCGAGGAGCTGAGGACATGGCCAGCCCAGGTGAAGATATTGCTGTTGTTGATAAGGTCCGCCAGGGCCCGATCGAAAATGGGCAAGTAGTCGTCCAGATCTTCTTCTTCGAACACTGCGGTGATGTTTACAACTGGTTTCACTGGCGGGGTCGGAGCTCTTTTATTTGCTGACGATGATGATGGTGGTGATGTTGCTGTGTTGAACTTGACCGCCGCCAGGTCAGATTTGCCCCGGCCGTGAGTGGACAGATCACACCCAACATTAGGGAGGAGACTGGACAATAGAAATACTATGACTAGCCAGAACATGGTATATAGATCCGATGTTCGGTGAGATTTCTCCAGGCGGACACGCGGTGTGGCAACAGCATCCACGGAACACAACTGTTTTGGCTGACAAATTGAGCCTTGCAATGCATTAGGCGCGGTGACACAGCAGACGTGGCAAAATGATGTCTACAGAAATATATTTTCACCTACAGACTTGTACTCATAGACACAAAGAAAGATGAAGGGATAAAAGTGCACGCCATTTAAATGTGTGAATTACTGAATTAAATGTGTCGGTTTTTGTTTGTTTTCGAACCCCGTCTTGAATTTTAAAAATGTAACCATGTAAATCAACATCAGAGATAACACTTATGGTATCGATACCTCAACGAGAGACCACAAGCCTGCCCATGCAAATATGTGAATTACGTAATCTAAAGTGTGGTTTTCCCCTAGAAAGTGGAGTTTGTTAAGAAGTGTATCTATATAACACACCATAAACTACACTCCGCCTTTAGGGATTAGATCACAAGTCATATAAACATTAGATTTGCGTAATCCATTTTATTGCTTTCTCCCAGTGTTGAAAATTGCATCCATGTAATACTACATTATAAACGACACTCCGACTTTAAGGATTAGATCACAAGTCAAATAAACATTGGAATTATGTAATCCATATTATAGCATTCTCCCAGTGCTTTGAGACGTATCCACGTAACAAGACAAAATCAACTACACTCCGTCTTTAGGGATCAGATCAGAACCCATTTACACGTTGGAATTACGTAATCCATACTATTTCTTTCTCCCAGTGCTGAAAAATGTATCCATGTAACACTACACCAAAGTTCTCCTTAATTCCAGTTTTTTTTTTTTTTTTTTTTTTGAAGCAGTATAAATACGTCAATTACATAGTCTCGGTTGTCTTTAAAACACAAAAATGGTGTTTGCTAAAATTGTGCTTGTACCTAAGTAGAAGTCAGAGACTAGGTCACCCGCATATGTGAATTATTTATCTTCAATTGAGATATTTACCTAACAACCCGGTGTGTGCTGGACAAAAAAAAAATATGCTTATATGAAATTTATATGGGAAAACTGCACAGTGTGTTTTACCACCGTTAACTGTCAGAAACGGACAGCGGATTTCAGAATATTGTATTTGTGAATGACAAACATAGAAAACGCAGAATTTGAAAAGCATGTACCTCAGAAGATACATAACTGATAATAAGAACTCTTCCTGGGACAGGAAATTGCAGTTTGTCCACAGACTCCAGCCTGCTCATGGCGTTGATTTAATTATTTGAATTCGTAGTGCATGTCATCACAGACAATAAACCTGGAAAATAGAAACAGATAATAATAAACTGTTGGGGAAGTAGGAAGACATAGGATTTGTAAGATATCCTAGCAATGATAATGGTTAAATGACGTGTAAGGGTGTGATCAGGCGCTTGGCACTGCAGCCAGCAGTGTTAAGCTTGGATAGCTTCCCTTCGGAGAGGTGAAAAGTGAAACTTGAGAAGCCCGCCAACGACATGTAGATCATCCAGGTCAACATCCCCATCTCATGGTGCTCGACAAAAAAATTAGGTGGCCAGGTTTCAGGCTAACGGGGCAATGGCTCACCAGAAAGGAGACGGACATCAGCAGGGTCAGATTTTTTTTCCTGGCCCACCAGTGGACGGGCCTAGCAAGCCGGCAGTGACGTATTCGACCTCTACTACTCTAGAAACATTAAGGACACATATAGGAACCCACGACACTTGGTTACAGCCTGGTAACATTAAGGAGACCCCCCCCCCACCCCCCCCCCCCCCCCCCGAAAAAAAATTAGAAGAAAGAGGCTGATAGTGAAATGTTGCGAGAGAGAGAGAGAGAGAGAGAGAGAGAGAGAGAGAGAGAAAGAAAGAGGAAAGGGGGGGGGGGGGGGGGGGCTTTTCATTCTGGCTGTGTAGAGAAAGATGCCCACCCAATGACCTGGTAGATAAACAGAATTACACAGATTTGCAACTTCAAAGAATACTGAGGTAAGTTAATTACAATATGTAGATGTTGCATGTGGTTTCCCCATCTTCCTTCTCTTTTCGTTCACCTTGCCAGTGGTTTCTGGATGAAAAAGAAACAGGTTTCTTTAGTCTGTGGTGTGACGCATATCTTCCACTGTTTCACACCCTTTTGGATGCCAAACGGTCAAACCTAGGATCTCTCTACTGCATGTAGAGAGTCATATTGTATACTCCCCGTGTGGGTTTTTGGGCCCTGTTATAAAGAAAACCGGAATAGATCCACTGCCAACCCAACAGCATGTCGTAAGAGTCGACTAATTGGGAGCTTTCTTTGAAGTCGAAGTGCATATGCCTGAGAGGCAAGGAACCAATAGCCTGCATACAAATTAGATTTGTCAAACGGATGCACACGCAACACTCAGGTTCTGGAACAGGACTGCAGTCCAGGAGTGGACAAACAATCAGAACTTTCGACTGGGGTTTTAAAGCCAGTAAACGCATTGAAGAAGAAGATATTGTGTACTGGATTTTTCTCTCTCTCTGTCTTTTCTCTCTCTCTCTCTCTCTCTCTCTCTCTCTCTCTCTCTCTCTCTCTCTCTCTCTTCCCTCTCTCTCTCTCTTTCTCTCTTTCTCTCTCTCTCTCTCTCTGGTCGGTTTCCTATTTTCTCCATAGGATCCGATCCGGTGCCTACGATAGGCCATCTGGATCTTTGCGAAGTACACGTTGCAATTTGTGCTGACAAAATAATCAAGCATCCGTAACGACATTCTCTTGATTATCTTGACAAAAAGCCGCTCTGGGAATGATTCCCGAGACTGCAGCCAACCAAGAGACGAAGAAGACAGATACTACTGGAAACGTTCTAGAAGACTGAAACTGTGATACCTTATGTACTAGAACTATTTTAACGCGTCAGATAATTCGTATGTTAATTCCGACAAGTTCTACACACACACACAAAAAAAAAATAAAAAAAAAAATAATGGGTCTTTCCCAATAGCCAAACATAAATGGCATCACAGAACAGTTCAATATTTTAGAAGATAGTAAGACCGAGTTTCCTGACTGTATGATGCCTTTAACTACCCCAACACATCTAGAATTGGGCGTAACTCCCAACCAGCCTACGTCAAACGAAAGAGAATGCCGCATAGGTCCTAGGATTGCATGCAGCCTATCTATCACCCCCTAAAATACTGGACTCTCTTGACCTGTGGATTTCAACTTTTTGTAGTCGGTAATTGGGAAAAAAAATGAATATATAAATAAAAACGAACAAAAACAAAATACTCGCTGGGAGAGGAAACGTGTTCAGAATCTTCGTAACCAGCACGCCGATGACAAATCCAGGACCCCCCCCCCCCCCCCCCCCCCCCCACATGACAGGCAACCATCATTTTTTCTTTTTTAGAGGAGAAGCATCAGGCATGTATATGCATACCGTAGCAGCATAACACGATGGGCGAGCCAGGCTTTTCACAACGGAAGCAGAAGAAGGGTCATTGCTCACAACTGCAATGCGGCCTAAGATTCTACACTGTCCTGGCGTTTACATGGTTAAAGTGCAACCTGGTCAATGGAAGGAGACAGAGAAGAGGTACATATTGAACAAGAGAAAGAGACCTAACTACAGCGAGTGAACTGATGTATGCAGATACTGATGACGTCAGTTAGTTTCGTCCATCATAACCTGGATATGGCTGTCGAAGCACGCACAATTGAAGATTAGATGAGATTCCCTTTCCTGGCTTACCGAGCGGCATTTCTGGAAGATATCTTTCCGACTTCGTGTATGGCTGTTTTCTTGTTGCCAGCCGTATATGTAGGGGATATGTTTCCTTCTTTATGTCTGATCCATGTGTAAGGTTTTTGTTGCCAGCCGTAAATATATATATATATATATATATATATATATATATATATATATATATATATATATATATATATATATATAATATATATATATATATATATATATATATATATATATATACACACACATAAAAATATATAGGATATCTTTCTGACTTCCTGTATGGCTAATCCATGTCTGAGGCTCTGGTTGCCAGCCGTTTATAAATTATATATATTTCGGACCTTTTGTTTGGATGTCGTCGGTTTGAGGCTCTAGTTACCAGCTGTAATAAATGATACATATATTTCGGACCCCTTTCATAGATGTCCTCTGTTTAAAGCTCATGTTGCCACCTGTGTATAAAATAGATGTTTCCGACTTCCGGTGCAAGTAATCCATGTTTAGGGCTTTTGTTGCCATTCTGTGTGTGTGTGTGTGCGTGCATGCATATCTTTATTATGTGGGATGTTCTTGATTCCAGCCGATTTTACAGTGGGTATTTTTACGATTTCTTATACGGCTGATCCATATATAAGATTTTTGTTGGCAACCTTGTGTGTGTGTGTGTGTGTGTGTGTGCGTGTGTGTGTATGTGTATATAAAATATATATATATATATATATATATATATATATATATATATATATATATATATATAATTTACAGACTTCAGGTTTCCCTGTCGTCTGTACGGAGCTCTTGTCGCTTGTCCTATATCACTGGCTCTGGTTGAATTTCCTGTTCTTCCGTTTTATTCTGTCTCGTACATTAGAAAATACATTGTTGGTTCTACTGGTTAATTCAGATACTCACCTCTGGATACAAAGATCGCAGGTTCGGCTCAAAAAGGAAGCTGTATTCTTGAAAAGCCACCTTGGCTACCAGGTCGACCTAAGCCAAAGAACAATTCCAGGTCAAAACGCAGGAACTAAAGGGGGTGTTCGTGATGCTGACCACATCACCCACCGAGTGCCTAATGGTCTCCAAATTTTTGGTCAAGCATTATAAGCCCAATACGCTCGAAAGCAAAGACAAGTGTCCTTTGCTTTACTACTACTACTATTATATGTCCTACCACTACGTTACTGCTACTGGTTTTGCTACTTCTACTGCTACCACTCCGTCCAGAAAGCAATGGCAAACTAATGGATGTAAATTTGCCTAGTGA